TCCACGCGCGAAGAATTTGAAGTTCAAGCATCTGCGTGCGTTTCTGCGGAAATTGCTGCTCGATTTCAATTGGATCAAACGTTTTCAGTTACCTCGTGCAGCAACAAAGCTGTTGACCATTTAATTAATGAAGTAATATTTATCTGGAAATTCTTGATCTTCGTGGGATATCAGTTTTGCTTTTCTTATATATATATATATATATATATATTTATATGTATATATATACGCGTGATAGAATTAGCTAGCGCCGCTAATTCAGCTCGATTCTTTCTCTTTCGAATCTAAAAAGAAATAGAGGAATAGTCAATCGAGAATGATACATCCCATCTATTATCCAACACATTTCTTCATATCTCAACACATTCAGGATACAGTTCTCTAAAACTATTCCCAACTAAATATTACTAAATTCCATTATGTGCTATGTAAACATATAATATATAATTATATGCCATAAATACAGGTGACCCTCCTATAACACCATAGATAGGTCTCATCACTTTTCCCATCATTATTCTAAGATAATTTAGTTTTTAAAAATATAAAACAAAAATCATATTATCTACTGCTGCAGAAGTACAGTGTTATACAAGGATTTTCTCAATTTTCCTATCATCCTAAGCAAAACCGTGTTATACCTCATCACTTTTCCCATCATTATTCTAAGTAAATTAAGTTTCTAAATATATCAAACAAAAATCATATTATCTATTGCTGCAGAAATACAGTGTAATACAAAGGTTTCCACAATCTATCTCATGGTGTCAGAACAAAACCGTGTAGGATGCTATAGGAGGGCCACCTATAAAAATTTCATGTTCCCCCACGGAACGACCGTCCCCCTGAATGTGCCGATTCCGTTCAATTCACAGAAGCGATACAAAACACGAATTCTGTTGATTATTTACCGCTATCAGATTTGTCTTCGGATGTCCCGTTGGTCAATTCTGGTTCTTTCTTCTTCTCTCCCTCCTCCGATTCCACGCTCGACGCTTTCTTCTCGTCCTGGCTGGCCGCCTTCTTGTCTTTCGCTTTTCCCTTGGCCGGCGTCGCCGGTTTCGGTTTCGGCTCGAGGCTCGGGTCCAACACGATCTTACCGATGTTCTTGCGGTCGTGCATCTTCTGCATGGCTTCCGGCACGTCCTCCAATGCCCACGTCGAATCTATTACCGGCTTGATCTTACCTTCGCCCCACATGGTGAACACCCGTTCCACCGACTGCCGCACGAACTCCTGGCTGCCGTGTTTGTACATCAGGTGGCGGAGGTTCAGCCCGGACAACGTTTTGTTCTCCTCGAACAGCTTTATGGGAGACACTTTGTCCACTTGCCACCACTGTAAAACGAGCGTTGTTAGCGATACTAAAATTATTAACGACAACCACCGTGCCGGTCAACGTGTTAACACATTGCGCGCCGGCCTCGCGATAATGCAGGATTTTTAGTCTGTCAGTTTAGTTCATTCAATTACAGCTTAATATGATGCTCTATTTATTCAAGAATATTTGGGAGTCATTGAAATGTTATCTTGAAGTGGTACAATTGTGATAATCTAAATAAATATAGAAAAAATTGTTAAAACAGGTAGAGCAATAAAATAGAATGTCGAGTCTGACTCGACATAGGACTGTTAAGGGATAAAGCTGAATTACATATCAATTGCTTAATTAATAGAAGAGGAAATTACGGTCCGATCTCTTGCTATTCGACTAATTAAATCATTTGTTCGTGAGTTAGTCTTCCAAATATATTCCATCTTATCGAGATGACGACATCCGAGTGCAAATGGTTAAATATACAACTAACAACAGTCATTAACACTAGGTTTACGGAACGCGTCAAATCGACGCAGATTAAATTTTATAAACATTATTTGGTAAATGTTTCTACATCTACAATTTCCAAAATCTAAATGAACGAATATCAACTTCCCCAGGAACAATAGAATAAACTGTACAATAAATGCCCGTAAACCTAGTGTTAACAAACAGCCTACTACTAAAATCAACTTCTAATTGTAAAAAACAGCTTACTACTAAAATCAACTTCTAATTCTAACAAACAGCCTACTACTAAAATCAACTTCTAATTCTAAGAAACAGCTTACTACTAAAATCAACTTCTAATTCTAACAAACAGCCTACTACTGAAATTAACTTCTAATTCTAATAAACAGCCTACTACTGAAATCAACTTCTAATTCTAATGAACATCCAAGGTGCTCGAAAGAGTAAAACACGATTGCTGATTGAATCACGTACTGATCGCGCCGCCGAGAAGAAGCTCTTCATTTCTCCGGTGACCACGTTGCTGGACCCGTAAAGGATGTATTTCCCCATAGGCTTCAGCAATGCGTAGCCCTTGTTGCACTCCTCGCCGCACAGGCAATCGAGTACCACGTCCACGCCCTCCGGGGAGATCCTGCAACGGAATAAAAATTAAGTAGACGCGGTCTAGGAGTCGTGGATCCGAGTTAGACGACGATGATCGATCAAAGTTCGTTACGTACTTTCTGACCTCGCTGCTGTAGTCTGTGCCCCGCTCGAGGATATGGTCGATGGTACCGGTCGCCTTCAGGGACTCGTGTTTCGATTTACTGCACACACCGAAGATCGTCACGTCGTTCACTGTTTTCGCCAGCTGGACCACCGCTTGACCCTAAAACGAGGAACCATAATGAATATCCTGCCGGACGGGGCTCGGAATAACGGGGCTCGCTTTGATCCTCGATCTTCAAGGTCAACGTTTGCATGGATCTTGAACCTTGACCGCTGAAGCGAATCTAGGGGATGACCTGATCTTTCCATAGGTAAGGCGTTTGTTATAGTACGTTCTAGGTTGATGAATTATATAGTTATTATCATGCTTTCTTAACACGTTAATTTTTGTAACAAATATTTTTAAGGAACGAGGCTCGCTTTGATCCTCGATCTTCAAGGTCAACGTTTGCCTGGATTTTGTCCCTTGGCCGCTGAAGCGAATCTAGGGGATGACCTGATCTTCTTTTGCATAGGATAAAGCGTTTATTGTAATATGTTCTAGGCTGATGAATATATAATTATTATCACGTTTCCTTAACACGTTGTGTGCCATGGGGTCACATGTGGTATACGTTAATTTTTGTGACAAAATATTTCTAAGGGACAGATGGTGACCCCCAACCAAATCGAATTATTGTAATTCAATCGATTAAACGGCGATTATTTAAAAATATTTCTATATTATAAATAATGCTACCTAATGTGGTGATGTTCGGCTAAATGTGCATTAATAATGACGCAATTCAAACGAATGATTTAATATTCTAATAAAAGTAGTGACCATTGGTTTTTCACAGAAATTACAATTTAAATAGCCAATGGTCACTGCTTTTTATGACGAGTATACTCGTCGCGATACAAAATCCTGCAACTTCTCCATGACGAGTATCGAACACAGTTAACCGGTTAAATTTCAATGAATCTTCGTATTAGCGATCATCGACGGTTAACCATAGGATCCCATAAATTCCACTTGGCAGTCAGGTAACTCGGACTCGTGTGTGGTCTTGAGTCCAGGACATCGCTAATAGATTCGTGCCCCTCGCGACGGGTTGGTTTATGGTCACAGCGAGCATTAGCCGTTTGCCACGGATACATCCTGATTAAATGATTCGAAACTTCGAAGGCGTCGAAATTTGTAATAAGAAATTGATGTTCTTACTATAATATCTACGAATGAATACACCTCGTAGCGTAACAGTACAAATTCAGTGAAGTTTATTTTGTAATAAAGTTATTATTTAAAACGTGTCTATATTATTGTATCTATTAAAATTTTTTTTCAACCCATTACCGCAAACGATGGTTATAGCCATCATTTGTTCCGAGTATAGAAAAGTAATGACAAATCACGGTTCGGGCCGCTTGATCGATATTTAATATTATACCTTGTGCAACGCATCGATTTGAGAAATATTGAAACAAGACAGCTTCGTTCCTCAATTTTCTTTTTGCGATTTCTCTTAGAGTTCAGTTTCTCTTTAGTTAGAAAATGTTCAAATATTTCCAGCGAAGAACTGAGGAACAAAGCTACTTTATTCCAATATTTCACGTACCAATGCATCATGCAAAGTTCATTAAACATCAGACTTCATAGTTTGCGTCAAATCGAGTGGTGAGAGTCTCCCGAGTGCAAAGGGTTAAACGCAAGGGTTAACGCAGCTAAGTTGATAACAGCGTAATACAAAGATTCCAACGACAAACGAGTCATTGAAATGTTACTAAAATACTACAGATAAACATAGAAAAAACTGTCGCGATAAAATAGAACGTCGAAGTTTGACTCGACGCAGGAGAGCTAAGGGTTAAGGGCGACTGTTTTCCGTCCGGCAGGAAACGAGAGAGTTATAAAGCGGCGGGCGCACGCTTGTCAAGTGGAGTAAAAATTGAGCGAAACGGCCGGAGATTTTCAACAGAAGCGGCATTCATTATTTCCAGGAATCGAGAGCTGACCGCTCTTCTGTCTGCCTTCGACCGTTGTCGAGAATTCGATACCCAATAACATGACCAATCCCCGAGGAGGCCTGCTGGAGGAGCCAAGCCCGAACATGGCAGAGAAAGAGAGAAAGAGAAAGGGAGGGAGAGAGAGAGAGAGAGAGGC